ATGCAAATTTTTGCAAATATGATGCTTATTAACATTATTATTAAATTGATGATCAATTTAATTCGAGATGTTAATATTGGGTTGTCCGGAAAGTTCGTGCCGATTTTGAAGGAAAATTGAAACGCAGAAGATTTAAATTTTAGTATACATTTATTAAATTTAAATCTTTTGCGGCACGAACTTTCCGGACAACCCAATATTTAAGTTTTAATTTGTGGTTGCAAGACAAAAGTATTGGCGTGTAGTTTATAAAACCGAAAAATGTATTTGTAAAAATTTGCATATAAATATTATTGATCACCAAGATCAGCTTCAATAAAAAATAGGATTATTTCTTTTAATTGATGTATTCTTTATTATATTTAATTTTTATTTATAATTGTAAGTAGAGCATAGTTGATATATTTTATATTTTAAAATCATTTTTCTAATTTTTCACGTGTAATATTTCAAGATGTTCGAATTCCGCAAGCTCGATCAACTAACTTATTCGCCGTCTTGATCCGTCTCTCGTGCAGATCTCGGGATAAGATGACAAAGAGATTGTACCGTGTAACGTGAAAGAGAGATCAGCATCTTAGGTAAAGACGAGTCTTCACATTATCAAGCGTTTCGACGCCTTCGTTTCTGTTTTTAGCTGTGCAAAGGGGGCGAGTGCCGCCGTCGCAACCTTCATTGCCGGGTTTGCCGGGCCAATTCGCCCTGACGAACGGGGACGCGGTCGCGTGTGCCAGCCTAAACGGACACTCTTACCTCTCGTCGTACATAAGCTTGCTGCTGAGGGCGGAGCCCTATCCAACCTCGAGATACGGCCAATGCATGCAACCCAACAACATCATGGGCATCGACAATATCTGCGAGCTCGCAGCGCGGCTGCTCTTCTCGGCAGTAGAGTGGGCTCGGAACATCCCGTTCTTCCCGGATCTTCAAGTGACGGACCAGGTGGCCCTGCTAAGGCTAGTGTGGAGCGAGCTGTTTGTCCTGAACGCGAGCCAATGCTCAATGCCCCTCCACGTGGCGCCGCTTCTAGCGGCGGCAGGTCTTCACGCCTCGCCGATGGCAGCGGATCGCGTGGTCGCCTTCATGGATCACATCAGGATCTTCCAGGAGCAAGTGGAGAAACTCAAGGCGCTTCACGTCGACTCCGCAGAGTACAGCTGCCTCAAGGCCATCGTCCTCTTCACCACTGGTGAGTCTGAGATAATTTTATTCAACCGCTCTGTACTCTGATTTAAGTTGGAGCATATTTTATAAATGTTTTTCCTTCTCGTGATTTATCACCATATATTTTTATCGTGATTTATCACAATTGAAAATACGTGCTTCTAAATCCGTGGAGTTTTTGTTAACTTTTTTTAGATTTAAAAATCTTACAGTTTTTCCTCTTCTTAAGTAAGAAGATTTGCTATAATTTATTTTATTGTATATTCTTATTTCCAAACATGCACTTCAACGCCACTATAGTGGCTTTCTCAATTTGTAAGGTTAAAAAGTCTAGTTTCATATTCATTAAAAATTACGCCAGCTACTGAAAGTGTTTTTTTCAAGCTTTGTCAAGTAGTTCTTTATGTTGAAGAAAAAAGACTCACTTCATAAATATTATGCCATGAAATATTATCTAGACATCATGAGCGCGCGATGACAGATTTGTCATGAATTCCCTTTGAAAAACATTGGGAGAACCAGAAAGCCATCCTGCTTCGCGTTTTTGCGTCTCGTAGCACGAGCCAAGAGTCTTCACGACGTATTCCCTACGTTACAACGATACTTTGGTCGTCGTCCGTATTACTCGCCTGCCTGTCCCGCCTGTAATCGTCATGACGATGCTATCTCGAAGACGCTCGTTGTCACGTAGCCGCGATTCTCGACGGGCCTAGAGAGGCTAGCAGCGCACCGAGAGGGACAATGCTCTTTCTCTTCCTCCGATCGTGAAGCCTCATGGTTCCTGTACCACGTACCGGGTGGCAGGAGAGCGTGCGCCGGAAGAACTCTCCGAGCATAAGCGGAATGGTTCTCTCCATCTCGTTCTCTATGTCTCTCCAGGGAAGATGTACATTCTCTTTCTCTCTCTCTCTCTCTCTCTCTCTCTCTCTCTCTCTCTTTCTCTCTCTCGACGTTGTCCGAAGGCTCGCTGACCGCGGGCTGCGTCTAATCGACGTGGCGGAGATATTATCACCGCCTGCGACTGTCATCCAGCAGCGCGATCCCCGTCAGGACCAGGAGACGACGGCGACGGGATGACGACGATTCACTGACGTAACAATGTGTAACGCGACGGTGTACGTACCATACCTTCGTTGTGTCGCGATCGTCATCGAGCCGTTGAGACAATGCGTTTCTCCACTTCCCTCTGTCCGTCTCCCGCCGCAACGTGTTCTCACTCCCCGAAGCCAATCTCTAGTCCCGGTATCTATCTCTTGCCTTTCCCTCTATCTCTCTCCCTCTTTCGACGCATCCGATGACAACCGCATCCTGTCCGAACGAGCGCTCGCGCGAACTATCTCCCGGCCCATCTGCTCCTTTCTCCAGCAGGAACCACTACCATCGTATACACAACACGTACACCGAGAGGATTTCGGACTGGGCGATCCTCTCCTGCCGGTGTGTTCTCTTGTTGGATACGTGCACGCACGTTCGCACGCACACGACTCGCGACCGGGCGGTAGATTTCAGTCAGGGGGGGTCGACGAGGACGATGAGGAGAACGGCGGCGGCGGTGACCACGACGATGGCCCATGCTAAAGCATCTCGCCGTAGATACGAGACGGGAGGCTATTTATTTCCGTGCTATATGGGCACGCTTAGCTTAGCTTAGCTTATGCTAATGTCCCCATTCTCGGGGAATCTCCATCTCCTTTTTGCCTCGCTCGACTTTTTCTACTCTTTTTGCGCCCAGACGCGATCGCTGGACCTCTAGTTCTTTTCTTCCTCGCATATCCTTCCTATATGGGTGAATCTTTCTTCCTTCTTTTCTCTTACGACTTAACGTAAAAGCTTAAACCTGCAACTCAGCTTATATACAATCCTTTTTAAATGTAATTATATTTTTATAAGCGTAGAATGTGTGTTTGTGTGTGTTTGATGAATAGAGCAGAAAAAGGTTTCTTGACTAATTTAAGATCTAAATTATAAGAAAGAATAATACATTATATATACCATATATATATAAAGATAGAATATGAATGTAAAGTTTGGATTAATT